AACTCCATCACTGTATACGTCATCCATCATCTCTCTCCCCAGCTCTCACGGGTAAAAATTTTAATACAATTTTTAAAATAGCAAATACAGTATATTATATAAATAAACGGTATTTTTGTTTTCATATATTAATCGTAAATTAAATTGACAATTTTTGCAAAATCATTTATAATATTACATTTATTGATTGCTAAATACATAAACTAAATGTACTAGTTTGCAAACTTAAAATATATAACAAACTAATCAAGGACACATAGTGATGCTATATTAATCACAATTCGGGTATTGCGTAAAGAATAGATTAGCTTTACCTACACATTTAATAAGTCTGTAGGATAAGCACTATTTTAGTCTAGATTAATCTACAGACTTACCTCATAAACTTAGCATTACTCACAGAATTAGCATTGCCATAAACTTAGCATACTATTTAATATACAATATTTATATAAATATGTAAACTTTACATAATTATTATCAATATATTTATGTCGATAAATTTAATTAAAGTAAAAATTGTTATTCAGTTATTTATTTAGCAAACAATTTGCAAAATTATTTATTATTTACATTTACGATTTGATTAAATTAATTTCTATTAATAATATAAATATAATAAGTTATGAAGAAAATATATTCATAAATGTAATAATAAAATCTGTCATATGAATATCACAATTTATTATTCATAAACAACATAGTTTGCATTCAGAAATATTTCAATCTAGCACAATTAACATGAATATAAATCACATATTAATACATGTCATGCTTTGGACGCACAGAGTATTTGGCATAACGTTTGGCGGACTAACTATTGACAAAACGGGTAAACTTACAGCGAAAATGTGGTGCAAAATCTATGGATCTATTATAACATTTTTATCATTTTTCGGTGATTGTCTATTCTTAACCGCCCTGATCATTTTAACACTGGGTCTAATGAACTCGGTGGGCACAGCGTACTATCGATTACGGTATACTGCACTCGCCCTCGTTGTGATGCAGGGCATAATGTTTGCGTACAAAATGGTTGCCATGTTATACATCAATGGCAACAAAGGGTTTACATTAATAGTAAGATTAAAGCAAATTCTGACGATGGAAAGCAATACCCGGGTATTTAAACGTAGGCACTATTTGTTTGTATTGCTTATATGGTTAACCCACGCTGTATTAACCATATTGGTTTATACATTTGTTGTTTCGTATTACTCGGATAAAGCGACAATTCATATTACCATGTTATTATATGCCCATTTTTATTTGTTGGTGTTATTTTCATGGACACTGCCCAGTTTAATGTGGGTGATTTCTATATCATGCGCAAATATTTTTGAGCATATAGCAAACAGGATGCAAACATTAAGTATAGACTATCCGGGTAAATAAGAAATTAATTATTATGTTGTTTAATAACTCATTAATAAGTTCTCTCTCTCTCTCTCTTTCTCTCTCTCCCTCTCTCTCTCTCTCTCTCTCTCTCTCTCTCTCAGAATTCGAAGGAATATTTCTATTGAGAAGTAAATTAACGGAAATCATAGAAAACAAGAAACAATTCGTAAATATATGTGAAATAATCACAGAATTGGACGAAAGCCTCAAATATGTGTTAATATTAAACACAATTAACACGATATACGCGGCGTTAATACAGATTTATGTGGCAATAGTATTGGAATCCCAATTTCATTCAGGCATAGCTGATATATTATTATTGTGGTCAATGGCAACAGGGTCGTTTATTGTCGAAATGATTATCTCGTGTCTAATGTGTGGCCGAATCGGTGTAAATGTGGGTAAAATAAGCGCCGCTTTGAACACAATATGCGGCAGTCATTGGTCGGACTCGGAGTACAAGGAATTGGTTTTATTCGGCAATGCGTTAAGAAATACGCCGACCGTTGGCTTCACTATCGGAGGGTTCGCTGCGATCAACAAATCAACACTTATTTCCGTTAGTATTATATTTTTACAATTATTTTCAATGTATAAATAATTTTGTTTAATTTTCATTTGTGTTAGATTTTTACATTTGTACTCAACTACACCGTTCTTTTAACTCAATCAATTAGATAATATTAAATAAATATGATGTTTAAGAAGTTATCTTGATAACATAATATTGAAAGTTAATATTGAAATTAACAGAATTTCATCCAGTTTATTTTCTTGTATGAATTAGTATTACCGTATAATTCAACACAAACAAAATATTAAATTTAATTATCTAGGCTATTAATAAAAATCTGTTCCGGCGGTTTTTTGTATTATTCCTAAACAAAATAAACTAGATTAAATTGATATAATGTAAAATTTAACATAATAATGTATAAGTTATTTATAAGTTATTTATAAGTCATTTTATATTAATTGTATTAAAGATTAAATAGTGATGAGTAGATAAACCATAGCCTCTGCATAAGTGTGTATACCGTTAGATAAATATAGCCATAGATTTTAAATGACTTATTTTGTCGTATATTAAAGTCGCGATCAATGGATAGACCGTTAAATGTTAGGCCAATTATGCGAAGAAACCAAAGCATTGATTGAGCGATAAAATAGATAATATTTGATTTATTCAATGAATTTACCATGTTTATTTGTTGATTTTATTTTAATCAAGGTTATAATGCTTTTTATAATGTTTTTGATCATACAGTGTAGTTAATACTAACTTATTATGTGAATTTTCACTGATTAATACACTATAGTGATTTACTGCTATTTTACCTAAACAAATAAAGTATTAATTATTTTAATGTTAATACTTTATTTGTTTAAAATTTTAAAATAAAGTTATTATTTTTAATACTTTATAAATACATATAATTATTACAAATAATAATCCCTCCAAAAGCCATCACAAGTGCTGTGAAAGGGATTATCCAATACTCGGCTCGTATTCAATGGATTCAAGTCTTTGATAATAAATGTATTGTTTGTCAAAAGCTTCGGCCAATTGTTGTCCGCTTTACTAAAACACAGACACAAAACACATATCAATCAGAAAATTAATTAAAATAAGAGATTAATTATTGTAATAAATACCCGTATTTTGCAAAATCAGTCCACAATCTCATAGCATAGCGACTGAACTCATAATCGCTATCTGAAAATGACCATGGTACATCCAGTGGTATACCAAACACATAGGTTGTATCGATGCCGTGATTGATGGCCAAAGAGTCCGGATCGTAACCAAACGACTCGATTGTAGATCTGTGTCCATAAGTCAGTTCATAAAAGTGGACATTTTGGGTATGAGTTGCTATATTTCGGGCAAATTGTTGGCCAAATAAATATGTCGGACAATTCAATGCCATATCACTAACAAACTTATAGAAAGCTAAACGAAGCGCTGTTTCATCGGTAGTGTTGACAAATTTTAGGTAAAAGTCGGTTACGTTTTGTGCGTTTATATTACGAAAGCCGAGTTGTGCTGATTTATTAACCATTTGTTTAAATATATCAACGGATATATTACTAATGGATCCCATATATGATTCCCATACTTGTGATCCGACATCTCTGGGCAGACATACCATTAAATCTATGTCTAAATAAATACAATTAATTTAATTATTATTCTCTCTCTCTCTCTCTCTCTCTCTCTCTCTCTC